ATCTTTCAAACGAGTTCGATATCCAGCTATCAGGGAATCTTCTTGTCAATGGTGTATAGATCTAGAACCTCGGTGTTTCATACTCTATGAACGACGAGACACCTTTCCTTGCCAAACAACATACCCCCATCCAGCGTCCAGCACCAACGACAACATACTAAACTTACGCTATCTGTCTACACACAGAGAGACGAGAGAGAGAGAGAGAGAGAGAGAGAGAGAGGGGGGTTTAACGTCCACTCAACACAAACTAGGTAATTTTGGGACTAATATATGGTTCAATTTTATTTTAATAATTCGCCTGCGCGTAGGGGTCTTTAGCAGTGGGAGGAAACCGGAGAAAACCCACGAGGATGGACAGGCGACCCTACTGTCTACAACTAGCTCAGATTGAGAACAAACACTAAGCTAGTTGACCGACATTTTAAGTCCTAAATCGACGATTTTAGTCGAAAACACTAAGTAAGAGGTATACATTCTGCTTTGATTTAATAAACTTGAAAAGGTTCAATTAGTCTTTTTGTGTATAACAGATGTCAACCGGAGTAGAACCGTGTTTCACAACAGAATACTAATTATTGGATATGGCGGCCATTAAGGGCAGGGATCTGTTCTCGACGTACATTAGATAGTTGTCTGTGTGCATAGCGACAACCAGGCTTAGATATCCCGAGAAAATCACCGTGTCTAAACATCACCTTCTAGGTCGTAGTAGTAATCAATCTGATTATAATACAGATCTATATTTCGTTTCGTTTATTTAAACTTTCGATGGCCTACACTACATGAAGATCTGACAAATTATAGCGATAGGTCACGTCAGGGGTCAAAAGACCGACTTATGACCCTATGATGTCAGGCATTTGATTAACCAATCAGCATTGATGTTACTAGTGGATTACCCACAGTTCCGTGCAAAACACGCCGAAAGCTCGCCGTGACAGACCGTTTCATTGGCTTATCCCTGACACCATTCAGAACACGAGTTAAATAACAACTCTTCCAGATCCAAGTGTAGTGAAGACAAGTAAAACGAAATTTTGAACTATAAAAACGAAACGAAATAGGATCTGTGTTTTAATCAGATTGTAGTAGTAATATTTAATCGGTAGTTAAGCCTATTTATTTATCTATTATTTCAGGAACGTCGTTAAATGAAGGGAGCCACTGAGGCTAAGTGGGTAAGACGCTGGCTCGCTAGCACGGAAGTCGCGTGTTCGATCCCTGCATTGGCCGAGAAAGTTCATCGGAATCATCCGGCGTGATTTCCCCTTGTCAGTGGTGTAGGACGGAGGGCCTGACGAGGACAGCTGTCTAGTCGTTCGGATGGGACGAAAAACCGAGGACCCGTGTATACATTGGTGTACACGTAAAAGATCCCTTGGCATGTGGGGTAAAATTTCCCTCATAGCACACTGTATGTCGTATGCCCGTCTTCATTAGCCCAGTTGGATCAGAACAGTAGGACGTTAAACCCCATTTCGTTAAATGAACATAGTCCACCCCATCTGTTTTCGGAGCAATTTATACTGACAATAGGAGCTTGAAATGTAATAAAAATAACGGGAATGAAAACCGATTTTAATGACAATAATTACTACAATTTCATTAATTCAGTAGGAGTGTTTTCGAAATTCATACTTTAAATTCATTTGGTTCACAACAATATAAAATGCGTTTTACAAACCCGCGCAATAACTGTTTTTTCGAAATCAATTGGCATTCTCTGAAAACAGTCTAAATGACCAGTAATAAGGACGATTTGGAGGTATTTCTCAATGAATTCTATAGCATGACTCGCGCATGTTAAATACTTTTGATAATTCAAGCTATCGAGAAAAATACGATAATTGCGGGAGAAAAAAAATCACTAATTTCCGCGAAACAACGCAGATTCTGAGCTTACGTTTCTGAAAACAAGGCTTATGAAAGTTAAGATAGCGACGTTTTCTCATGGAGATACAGTTAACACGCGGATCTTTAATTAGAAAATGGTAACAAATCTATAGAAAAATCTATAAATCCATCATGGAACTTTCCATACCGTGAAATGGCAGCACGATACTTCGTATTCTACTCATATTTCAGACAACTCCGAGACAAAACATGTTTTTCCACACGGGAGCCCTATGAATGTTAAGTAAGCCTAACGTACTGATTATTGACATGGTATTGTTCAATCTGGAGAGATATAAGAAGTTGATCGGTCGATCAAGTTAATAATTAAAGTCTCCCTCCTCTACTTGACATAAACTCACAGTTCATCATTGACGTCAATCTTTTATCACGTTTTACAACTTTACAAAAACACCAACAACAACGACCACAGATGTTTTTTTGACTCTATTTATTTCTTGGCGGCTTAGATCGAGGAAAAACAGTAATTATAAACTAAGTTTTGGAGATTCACAGCATCATAGTACTTGTAAGTAAAACGATTTATATAAGCTACGACATTATCAACACAAGATGAAGATTTAGAACCGGAAGAAACGATAATTATACTCTTAAGTTCTGGGGATTCATCGCATCATAGAAGTACTTGAACGTACAACGATGTATATAACCTGCAACATCAACAACTCAAGCTTGTTTTTCAAATTTTCAAACATTAAAGATGTATTATGCAAGAGCTAAAACTTCCTATTGTAGACCATTTTTATGGCTTCAAACGTTATATACTTTATTATTAAGACATTCATTCACATGACAAGCCCATAATCAACTTTCTAGATAATAGGATGACCGAGATATTAAAAGGATAAGACCACCCGCGCCATATAATTGGTAAACAGTGAAATAGACGTCACTTAATAAAAAAACTGGCAATCGAGAATGTGTTTATTATCATGGAAATGCTACCTGACAGTCAACTGTTTTCTAAACTTCAAACACCCACTTTGCTCAGAATAAAGTAATTTGATTGAAATTTCCAATATATTCATTTTTCATCATATATTTTAGAATCTTACATAATGCACCTTTAATTAACCAAGAAGGCTTAGCTGATTTTTATTTTATCTGAATCTTACATAATGCATCTTTAATTATACCAAGAAGGCTTACCTGATTTATTTTTATCTGAATCTTACATAATGCATCTTTAATTAACCAAGAAGGCTTAGCTGATTTTTATTTTATCTGAATCTTACATAATGCATCTTTAATTATACCAAGAAGGCTTAGCTGATTTTTTTTTATCTGAATCTTACATAATGCATCTTTAATAATACCAAGAAGGCTTACCTGATTTATTTTTTATCTGAATCTTACATAATGCATCTTTAATTATACCAAGAAGGCTAAGCGGTGGTAAATATTAATATTGAGCAATTCCTAGGTTCTCTTTATGAGCAAATAGGCGTACATCTGACGGAGTGTTCGGAAATATATGATTTTTCGGAGATTAGCTTACATTCTCGTTAAATATAATAATCTGTTTTCTAGTATTAATCATATAAGTTTTGGACAAGAGCGTTACATTAGCCCTGCAGTCAATATTCATCTATAATTTGGGGCAAGAATTGTCCGGTCCTCATAATTATAAAGGACCCCACGTGTATAAACACAATTGTTTTGTACAATCCTATACAGGCCAATGTTTGAAAGTCACCGCCCCTTTTGATCAATTTGAATAAGCAGTCATCTAGGATGTTTTATTTGAAATAGTTTTAGGTTTGATAGATTAATAATAACTACCTTATAAATAACAATAAAAGTGGCCAAATTAACTCCTCATATTATAGATGAGAACTTTTATAAATTAGATCAAAGTGGTTGTGTCACTCTAAATTCGTATCAACATTATACACGGATATTAAATTGGGGATCAAAATGGATGTGCCACTTTATAACTAATAATTCGTATTAATATGATACACAGAGATAGAAACGGGTATGTCACTTTAAGACTTATAATTCGTATCAACATTGTACATAGAGATGGAAATGGGCATATCACTTTAAATTATCATTCGTACCAACATTATACACGAATATGAAAGCGGAGGTGTCACTTCAAATCATAATTTGTATCAACATTATATACGCAGATCAAAGTGGGTGTGTCACTTTAAAACATAATTAGTTATACACGCAGATCAAAATGGTTGTGCCAATTTAACACTTATAATTCGTATCAACATTATGCATAGAGATAGAAATGGGTATGTCACTTTAAATTATTAATTGTACCAACATTATACGCAGATTTTAAAGTGGGGGTCTAACTTCAAATCGTAATTCGTATCAACATTATACATGCAGAAAAAAATGAGCTTGCCACCATAAAGGGTAATTCGTATCTACAGTATACACGCAGATCAAAGTGAGTGTGTAACTTTAAATCATAATTCGTATCGACATTGTAGACACAGATCAAAGTGGATGCGCCACTTTAAACAATCATTCGTATCAACATTATACACAAAGACCAAAAATAGGTGTGTCACTTTAAACCATAATTATTTCAGGATCGTAGGGTAAGACGAGTTAGAGCCGTATACAGATATCTTCCTTTATTATAAGTCGTTCTTAAATATCTCCCCCTCTCTCTCTCTCTCTCTCTCTCTCTCTCCTAACGCTTTATGACACAGGTTAATACTCACGTTTTAGAATTAAAGTGGGTGCGTCTCTTTAAATGACAATTCATACCAAAAACAGATGCTTACTAAATCAATGACTTAGTGTAATAACATGTGATAATATATTCTAAATTTGACAGGTGTGCATATCTTTATAGTCTATAACTGTACAGCAACATTAAAATGCCAAGATTATAGCAATTAAACTGAAGTGTTTTAGAGTTATATGGTTTCAAGTTTACAGGAGTTACTTTTATACATATAACTTAAACATTGGATATATCGTTACACAAGTGTGTGTATGTTTTTTACAGTCTATGTGAGAACATGCTTTAATAATTTATTTTTAAACTGAGTCTTATTGTTTTATTTTTGTTTTTAATGACAGGGAAGTCACAGTAAAGACATACAGCGTCGCCATGCATGCTATAAATGGATATGAATCTAACTTGGACTGTTCGGAACACCTCTGTCCTATACCGCCAGCCTCAGACGAGTTTAAGAGAGCTTTACGCCAGCTTCGTACAGAAGAGCGAGTCCCGCTTCAATCGTTAAAAGGAGCCAACTCTTACAGCGTGCAGTCAGTCGACTCATTGCCAGGCGCTCATTTAGCAATGGGAAAAATCGAATCACGGAGTTTATACGAGGAAGAGGACTTTCATAATCCTACAGTTACGATAACCAACGGTCATTCGGGACATGTGCACGTTAAAAACTCTCTACCGGTGTCCTTTAATGGAAAATACAAAGATGGGTTTGGTGAAACGCCCAAGGATAAGGAGAAACCGAAAGTTAAAAAACTTATTACGAGTCGTTCCCCGAGACTCAATGACCATTCTGGACACCATGCGGTCATGCACGCACAATTCAGAGACCCGAACCTTTTCACAGACGAGTTCCGCCGACGTTCTATGAGCGAGTCGCATGCCCAGATGCGGAGGAAAGCGTTAGAACGCCAGGAAAAACGCAATGCTCGATTCGAACAAGGTGGAAGTGGGGATATACCACATGTGCATTGGGCAGATTCCACGGGCGACAGTTTAACATCGGATTTAAGACGAAGGTCTTTTTCACACGGTTCCACGGGGTTGCCCAATAAACCTATATTAAAAAAGATAACGAACGGCGTCGCTTCCGATTCTAAATGCTGTGTTGAACATTCAAACTTACTGGCTGTGGATACCCGCTATATATAATGTGTTTTCCTAGAATCAAATGTGTCTTATTACTTTTAGTAAAAAAAAAACTATTTTGGTTGTGCCAGAAAACTAATATGAGATAATTGATATTTTGTGTAAATGTATCCTGCTATCGCATCCAGTGATATGTCATCTTGATAAACAGGATCCGGTGTACTGGAGAGACAATAACATTACGATTCATTGACGATAATTGCTTTTCTGGAACGCTTGGGGCTACTGAAATGGATGGATTGTTCGGGGTAAGTGTGTAATATTAAATTTTTAAAGATGGAACCGACATTGTGGTCTGGATAATTTGTAAAGAAAAGTTTTTTTTGAATACAAATTAATTAGTATCGTTGTAGACAGAATACTTCATTATTTATATTAAAAAACCCCAAAGAAATTGTTTCATCAGCATTGGAAATAGTACACCCGAGAGATACGACGATTTAAAAAATACTCCCAAAAAACCCCGTCTTATCATCAGCATTGGAAATAGTACATCCGGGAGATACGACGATTGAAAAAAGAAAAAAAAACCCAAAAACCCGAAATTCCGTCTTATCATCAGCATTGGAAATAGTACACCCGGGAGATACGACGATTTAAAAAAAACCCCCAAAAACCATCTTATCATCAACATTGGAAACATGACGATTCAACTCTAAACCAAAGTTTGATGGACATGAATTCAGTGTATCGATGTGGTATGAACGCATATCCTGTCTAGTACATGACACAGGGATCGTAAATTGGAAGATCTAGAAGACAATAAATGCGTCTAGGTGGATTTGTGATCAATTTGTCCAGGTGAGTTGAAAATATGCAACTAACGCGTTCGTTGCCTAAGAAATCTTCTCCGGAATTTCCAGCCTGGATTGCGCTTGCCAATGATGCAGGACAGAGGGTCTGGTGAGGACAGGAGTGTCTTGTCGTCCGAGGTTCCCTTGCACACAATGGCATGTTCTAAAATAACCCACCAGTTTTAACTCAAAGAACAGTAGGGGGGGGGGGGGGCGCTGCTCTGGCAACATTTCACACATAGCACATTAGTCAGGTCAAAAGGTAATATGTTCCGTTAGGGAAGTGAAATCTCAAATAGACTGTTCTGATTTCAAGGGCCTTCGAGAAATTTGATGTAGCAATCCCCTTTCTTACTTGTTGCAGATAATACCCGCAATGGTATAAATAACTTACCGATCAAATTTAAAAGCTTCAGGTTCAAGTAAAATCAGGACTGACAGGCCAAGATTACAGCTGTTCAAAGAACAGTTAACAATGGGCTGGTGGAAATCGGTTCGGATTAATTGTAAATGAAATGGGCTTTTAACGTATTTTATCACCCAATAATACATTCTACAGTAGATATCGCTTGTGTGATATATTTCATAATCTACTGCGATATCTCCTTAGGAGATAGTCAGTTGAAAAGAAACTACTTTTTTTTATTTTCAAAGAACAGTTCATTTCTTATTAAAAGTAACTATTTTTTTTATTAAAAATGAACTATTGTTATTCAATTGACCTTGATGGAAACACTTGGTCAATATAAAGGACTTTGCAATGGTTGAATTGCTGTCAAAAAATGATGTATCACTACGCCGTAATGTTCAGTAAAAGTGAAATCTACAGCAAAGAATTATATTTATCTATTTGTGCATGTAAGAAGGGATTGGGTGATAAATAAAATCTCCTACTCGTCTTTTTTGATATCAAAAAATATCAACTTGTGTTGATATTTTTTGATATCAAAAAAGACTGGTCGGAGATTCTCTATTTCTGCATGAAATAGTTTCAACGTCCTAGGAGTTCTTACCATGCGGTGTGCTATGAGGGAAAGTTTTCCCTGGAAAATCCTTATCCGGGATCTCCTAGCTTTGTGACCCATCGCCGTAGACTACTCACTGAGACACCGTGGCACCACTACGGAGGAAAACAACAAAATAACGTGTCGACATGAAGTTAAACCCCAATCTATATTCTGTACAACCACTGGGGGTCAAATTAATGACCCTATCTATGTCGTAAATAAACGGTATAATAACATGCTCTATTTCCAAATACACTCCATTAATGGCCATTTATCAATGATGAATATACCGTTTAATACAAGGACGTGAAATATCTATTTGGGTTCATCTTTATTTATTATTAACGGCAATATAAAGCCAATATGGATTATAGTTGAATAATTCAGTGTTTGACTCGGCTTTGATTAGGCCTATTAACAACACGGTTTGGTTTTACTCATGTCTTTCTCTAATGAGTTTTTACGTCTAAAACAATCCATACTTGATTGACATAAATACAAATAAAATGATACAGGGTTAAACAGAGAGAGGAGAGAGAGAGAGAGAGAGAGAGAGAGTAAAGTCTACTCCATACAAACCAGATCATTTTGGGACTAATTTTATGAAGACCTGGGCAAAGAGAGAGAGAGAGAGAGAGAGAGAGAAAGAGAGAGAGAGAGAGAAATGGGGTTTAACGTCCACTCGACACAAACTGGGTCATTTCGGGACTAACATATGGTTCAATTTTATTTCAATAATTCACTTGCGCGTAGGGGTCTTTAGCAGTGGGAGGAAACCGGAGGACCCGGAGAAAGCCCACGAAGTTGGACAGGCGACCTTACTTCTTGTCACGTACAACCGGGGAATCGAAACCACGCCAGTTGACTCAATGACAGACTTTATGATACAAGGCGCACGCACTTACATTCGGCCATTCAACCCCCATCAATTTGCTGTCAGCTTATCATCATTATAGATCTATATCTTTTCAGGGTTTGAAAGAAAGATGGCAGATAAAAAGATGTTGGTTGTTTTATCGTAACATATCTGTTTTCTTGACTACATTAATTTCCACGAACATGAGAATGGCCGATATGTGTTGATAGCATTTGTATGTGTTGGTGAATGATCTGCGCAGATGAATATCTTCCGTAAACTGATGTGTTAACAGGTAATCCAGTCTGAACAGGTTAATTGGCAAGAATATTTTGTGTAAGAATATTTTATGCTAAATAGTACTAGTGAAAACATGTTTTTTTGTACTCTGTGCCAATGAATATTATTGACGTTATGGTATGTAGACGTGAACAAAATGACGTTATGGTATGTAGGCGTGAACAAAATGACGTTATGGTATGTAGCAGTGAACAAAATGACGTTATAACATGTTTTTTATGCTATGTAGCAGTGAACAAAATGACGTTATAACATGTCTTTATGCTATATAGCAGTGAACAAAATGACGTTATAACATTTTTTTATGCTATGTACCAGTGAACAAAATGACGTAATAACATGTTTTTTTATGCTATGTAGAAGTGACAAAAATAGTTTTGTGCTTTGTATAGTATGATTATTTTATGCTATATAATGGTGAAAAAGGGATGTTATGGTATGTAGGAGTGAAAACACTATTTTATGTTACGTAGGTGTGTAAACATGTTATGTTACAAATTTTATGCTATGTAGGAGGAATGAAGCAAGATTTCATGCTATGTAGGAGTGAATCAAGATTTTATGTCATGTAATAGCGTAGAAAAACTAATTGTGAAAAACTAATAGCGAAAGAAAGATGTTAGGGGTGAATAAACTATTTTATGTTACGAAAGTGTGAAAACATGTTATGCTACAAATTTTATGCCATGTAGGAGTGAAGCAAGATTTTATACCATGTAAACCAGAAAAAAACCTAAATAACGAACAGAATGTAATTGGAAATATAATTTGATGTTTAATTCAGTGGTGGTGATATTGCGTGATGGATGTTATTTTTGACAATTTAATTAAATTATTATAACATATCAATCTGTTGACATAGTTGTAGTATGAACAACAAAATAAACAGGTCTTAATACAAATTCCATGGCGTGAATGTAACGTGTTTTGACTAGTGAACAGTTAGTAGCTATCAATTACTTGGTTGAAATTATAACGTACATGTACGCATGTGTATTATATGTGAACAATGTCATATTTAAAATGAAATGGGGTTTAACGTCCTACTGTTCTGCTCCTACTGGGCTAATGAAGACGGACATACGCTATACAGTCTGACATAAAGAAAATTTTGCCCGGGCGGCGGTACCGTGGCCTACTCTTATATCCAATTCAAACTGGCAAGTGATCTTTTACGTGCATGCCAATGTATAGTGCTACCCTTTATCCAAGCTACAATCATTTATCCAACTATGAACATTTCAGCTTATGATTTTATTAAATATTCTCTGTTTTATTCGTAATAAATCTACATAATGTTTAGATTAGATTACACTATAAACAGCCTTATGTATATTCTAATTACTCCGTTTCGCTTTATTTGCTTCGTCTCGCTTTATTTTGTTCTCGTTATTAACGTCTGAATTTATACCGCGGTAAGGACTGTGATCTTTACGCAATAATAGGATTTACCTTCCATATTTGGTCGAAATTATGTCCTGGGTTGATTTCAAGTCGTTTGCTATGGAAAATGGCCTCTTTTCTTTGGCTTGTATCGACAGGACACTTCAATAAATAGGTTTTAGATGTCGTATTGGAAAATCCTGCCGAATATCTGATATCTGCTCCCGCGGCGCAGTTTCTAATACGATATCATATGCTTTGTCGTAGATGGATTAAGACTACCAACTCTCTCTCACATTTCCTTCAGTGGTATATTCATGACATTTCTTGACCTGCAACATTTTTTAAAACATTCCCGTGGTCTAAATCGAAAGCGCCCAGCATTACACAATCATCTGATTTAAATATTCTACGCCTGGTCAAAGGAATATAAAGACTGTGAGGTAATTTTCGTAGGTGATTTCCATAATTCATGTCTGCTTACTTCCTGATCCTCTCACCTCAAAATCATTAATATTCACCAAATCCTAGCAGAAAAACACTCTTCTTCAATTCTGATCCAAAACGTCAAGAAATCTGTCATGGAAATAGAGAAAAGATAGAAAGAAATGGGGTTTAACGTCCACTCGACACAAAGGGCGTAAGTGGGCACGTTAATTTCAATGATATATTCCCTAGTTGAACAATAACGTGATCAATAAGATTAGCCGTAGGACTAATCATCCGTGTAGGTGTAAATATAATCTGCTCTTTAAGTAGGGTAGCCTGTCCAACCTTGTGGGTTTTTTTCCGGGTCCTCCGGTTTCCTCCCACTGCTAAAGACCCCTACGCACAAGCGAATTATTGAAATAAAATTAAAAACCATATGTTAGTCCCGAAATGACCGAGTTTGTGTCGAGTGGACGTTAAACCCTCTTCTCTCTCTCTCTCTCTCTCTCTCTCTCTCTCTCTCTCTCTCTCTCTCTCTCTCTCTCTGCTCTTTAAGTTATATGAATCCAAACGAGAGAGAGAGAGAGAGAGAGAGAGAGAGAGAGGGAGAGAGAGAGAAATGGGGTTTTAACGTCCACTCGACACAAACTAGGTCATTTCGGGACTAACACATGGTTCAATAATTCGCTAGCGCGTACGGGTCTTTAGCACTGGGGGGAAACCGGAGAACTTGGAGAAAACCCACGAAGTTGTACAGGCGACCATACTCGTTGTCACATACCAGCAAGGAATCGAAACTACGTCAATAGCAGAACTTAGGATGCAACGCGCATCATTCGAGCTACATTTAGTGGAGACAATCACTAGCCTTAGTCATAAATTGAAAGCAAGTTTAAAGTTAGGCCACATTTTCTTTCAATTTTTGAATACAAAGGCAGTAAAACTGAAGCCTATTTATTAACTCTGAATTAAAAACAATAAAACACGTCTATCTGTATGTGACAGGTTTTATGGTCATTAATTAGTATTTTTGTCGATATTCCAAGTTAAAGTTGTTTTATAAAGACTTTATTGTAACATTGTACCGTAATTACAACATTTCATAATCAGATTACAAAAACCGATACTATTTCGTTTCGTTTTTAGTTCAAAATTTCCTTTTACTTGTCTTTACTACACTAGGATTTGGAAGAGTTGTTATATAACCGGGTTCTGGTTGATGTGAGGTATTAGCGAATTAAACGATCTGTTACGGAGAGTTTTTTTGTGAGGTGCACGGTACTGTCGGTGACCCACTAGAGACATCAACGCTGATTGGTTAATCAAATGTCTGACGTCAGAGGGTCAAAGCCGCTCGTATGGCCCTTGACGCGACCTTCCAAGTATAAAGTAAAAAAAAACGAAACGAAACAAGGATCTGTATTCTAATCAGATTGAACACTTGACATCAAAACAACGAAATCTTTTATGAATCAAGAAATCGATAACGTCTTCAAGAGCACGTCTTCGAGGTTCAATCTGGCTTACAATTACAAAAGTAGCAATTTGACGTCAAATACCTCCTTTTTGTAGAATTGAAATTGTTCACTTGATACCGTTTAAATCAGGCTAAATCTATTTGTTAAGGCCAGCTCAATTTTTGCCATGGTCGCTGAGATAGGCCACGTGACTGTTGGCGACATTGTAAGTTAGGGTTAGGGTAAGCATTGGGGCTAAGTCAAGGGTTAGGGTTACGGTTGCGATTAGCGCTTGTCCTGTTTACATCTCGTAACCTATGACGAAAAATTGAGCCGGCTTTATCATTTAGCACTAACCGCTTAAATCATTAGAGACCAAAAGTGTTTTGCGGGTCGGTAAAACACAAACTCGATCTGTCGTAATCTTACTATTTAGATAAATCGGGAGTGTTCAGATTAGATTGCCATTCAACGATTGAAATGTAGGTTATTACTTGGATTTTGGATAACTAGTTGAGTCCACAGGGTTATCTTTGATATAGTATTATATAAAATAAATTAAATTCATTTATAGACTGCAGTCGATTGTATGTTATATTTTTCTTTCTAAGGCACACCTGGCATCGTAGAACGTGCTTGTTATAGAGGAAGTAGATTCCTACAACCGATTAATTGATCAAAATTGTATACGTCTTTATCTTCACAAATATATGTATATAATTATAAACCGATTATTAAGAAACGGCTTCCTCTGAGCCATCGATCAATACAGTAAGATGAATGTGATGATTATATATATATGACTTTTTTAAACCAGTATATCATACAGTAAAATGATAACGGATAAAAAAATATTCAAGAATGAACTGCTTTATGATAAAAAATCATTACAGAAATATACTGAAATGGGGTTTAACGTCCTACTACTCTCCTAATGGGCTAATTAAGACGGGCATACGCCATACAGTGTGCTATGAGGGAACTTTTGTCCGGACAGTGGCGCTACGGCCTACTCTTATATCGAATTCCAACTAGTGTCAAGGAATCTTTTACGTGCCCGACAATGTGTATACGAGACTATGCACTGTCCGTTACCAGACCCTCTGTCCTGCGCCATGAACTTTCTCGCCCAACATCGGGATCGAACACTGGACTTCCAGGTTGGCGAACTAACGTCTTACTCACTGACCGAACGTGGGTCCCAGTTCATACAGCTGTATCTTTGTAATCCGGTTAAGCTATGAAGTCCATTACTTTTGCCCTGAAGGAGCCAGGCTCGGCATGCCTACACAGGCAGTCGGGCATACATGCTGTGAAAAAATTGTCGACCATGAAAACAATAGATATACATTGTCCACCAAGTTTACAGCACCCCTGAGAACACTTCCCGCCCCCCTCGTTGCTCTGAGCTAGTTACGGTCCTGCAGAAAATTTAGGAGTAGTTACGGCCCTGCAGAAAATTTAGGAGTATTTCAAATATTACCTGATTTTGAATTATATGGAAGGTAGATAGGGCCAAACTGTTTAAGCACACCTAAGCACAGTGGCAAATCAGGCACTACCAGTCTTCCATTTTCTATCCTTGTTGTACACACGGTCAATACTGATCAGATATGTCTTAGGTGATTAGAGGTATTTAGAGATCAATATACGCTAGGATTGCTGGCTCATAATTTTCCATTGATTAATGATATCTATTTAACAAAATATGAATGGTTTTGTTTGTCGTCGCTGTTTTGTTTGATCTAGTGATGTAAGATGTGGAATTTATCGCGGACAAACAATCGTTCATACGCGTTCTGTACTGACCTTCACTTGGAGCGAACTGTCAGGAGATAACGCACTTGATTTTTTTCTTTGGGAAATTTACTGAAATCAATCAATAATAAAAAGCAATTAAATTAGTCCTAGCCTTAACCCTAACATGGCAATTTCATTGGTCGCCATCTTAGAAAATCTAAAGCGGGGTGGTAGTGGTAGTGGTGGTGGTGGTGGGGGGGGGGGTGTACAGGTCTGCGATAGGCTCTTTCTGTTGCCTGTTTTTATTGCCCAATGATCATGATGGAAAGAATTTCTGGAGTTCTCCATGTGCGCACTGATAGGGCACGTCACAGTTTCTTAAACTGTCTTCTTTGCACAGTCTGTCATCATTTACCGGGTTGGTTCAAAAGGGTAGACCGTTAAAAAAACCATTTTGCCATTGGTACACCAAACGTGTACCACGGCGCGCCTCAGCGCCATTTTTAACAAGGAACTCAAAGAACGAGGTTAGACATATTCCACAAGTCAAGTCATGTCAAACGGGGACCTCATATTCTTATCTGGAGAGCATGTGAAATAAATACTATCGGTATAGACTGGAATAACCAGACGCTAGAGATTGCCATTCGATTGAGACTTCTGGCGTATAACTGATTAGAAATTATAGTAAAAATAGAACCGATTGAGGGTAAATCAGTTTATATACATTCATATTACATTATTATATGCGTTGCTACCCATTTCTGTTCATTTCTAGGTCCCAGATATTAGCGATTTAGCTCTTTTAAGTTTTATAATATCCTTTGTAAATGCCACCACGGTTAAGCATTATATACGTGATAATTTAACAATGTGCGATCTATTAAGACACCGAATAATACATACTCCGTCAAGGATTCCTAAGCTTTTAGAATTCAGTTGCTGGCATGGTGTGCCCTCTTTAGCATATTTGCACTAAGTTTTAAAATACCCCCCACAGGTAAGTCATACGTGATAATT